TACTTCGTGTTTTTCCAATAAAGAAAAGGCAAGCTAACATTCTAACTGGTGCACTAGCCAAGTTTATCGACTTACAATCTTCGACAAACTAACGGACCCGACAATAGCCTTATTATTAATCAACATTTGGTGCCGTGTCCAGATTTCTTCACTTTTACCATCGAAGAAGAAGACGAAGAAGCATTTAGAAAAAAAAGAAAATTACGTCAATCGTCGAATGTATCACCAAAGCAGTATGACTCACCGGATCGATCAATCAAACACGTCTTGTTTTGATTGTATATACAGGTATCATTATACAATTACCGCATGTTCGCATACAATTTGTATTAGCTGCTTACATGCAGCAATTGAGGAGAAGATCCAGCTGCAATTAGAAACATTCATTTGTCCTAGATGTTCCAATAAAGAAGATTCAACACAGTTAAATCCACAACAATCAGTTGTTGAACCATCATCGAAAGCTCGTCAACGTAATAAAAATAAACCGGAATCAGCTCAAATTCTTCATGCTCAATTACATTCTGTTCAACATAAACATGAACCAACACAAGTAAATCAACTTCAACAACAAGAATATATTCAAACACTTGAATTACAATTAAAACGTCTTACAGAAGAAAATATTCATTTAATTAATACTGGAGCTTCTACAAATGTTAAAATCCAAGTATTAGGTGAACAAATTAAAAAATTATCAATTGATAATGCTAATTTGGAAAAACAAGCACATCGTAATGAATTATTAGCTAAAGAAGCCCAAAAAGAAAAAGAAGCTTTAATTCGATATAATGAACAATTAGCACAGTCTCTTCCAAATGTGGAAAAAGACTTAAAACGTATCGAAGAAATACTTCATGAACAATTAAATGAAAGTCAAACATCATATTTACATGAAATCGATCAATATAAACGTCGCATTGCACAACTTGAAACTGATAATGAACAATTTGAAAAAGAAATCTATCAATTAAAACAAACAATTGATTTAAATCAACAAAAAGAACATGAATATAATGATTTACAACAACAATTAACTAAAGAAATTGAAGAATATAAAAAAACAAATTGATCATTTACAAATTCAATATCAATCTCAAAAGAATAAATTTAGGCAAGAAATTGAACGACTTGAACAAGAAAAAATATCCGAACAACATCAATATGAAGAATCTCTATATAGTAAACTTGCAGAAAAACATATTCAAATCGATGCATTGCGCACAGAACTTGATGAAACTAAAGAAAGAAATGATTCTACATTTTCACAATTAGATGAACGTCTTCAATCAAAACGTGATGGAAGTCAATTACTTAATAACATTCAATATTTTGGTCAATGTCTTTCATCGTCTCGACATATATTTGAATCGACCATCGAATCAAGCAAACAAACTTTATCAACAACAGTGACAACAAATAAACATGATAATAATCAACGTCATATACAAACAAATAACGCTATCCTTATTCTTATGATCTTAATGATTCAACACACAAAGAGTCAACTACAATCTACGGCGAATCTTGTTATAGGATCAACCGTGGTTCATCACAAACATATATTATGGATTTTGAACTACCCAATTCTTACCATGCGAGTCGACTTCTAATTTTTATTAATGTCGTCTGGCATAGATATGGAACGGGCAATAAATGGTTTCACACATGGTTTTTATTCTGGTTTATTCGTTATATCTGAAATCACAGTTTTAACTGGTCGTCAACAAGTCTTTTCTATTCCTTATCATACTTGTATGCGATCGATTTTTTTTTTCTTCACCAATTCTACTATGATCATCGAATTATTTTGCTTTCGATGAGAATATTATGGATCTTCATGGAATCATTATTCACAGGTGGCAGTTTATGATTCATTCACGTTTATTACGAATGTCAGAACTTACAATATCAACACGAATCGATCGTCGAATATGGATGAACACATTTTGTTTCTCTATTGGGCGGTTTCATTTTTCTTCGTGCGTTTTATCTTCCTTACATTTGTGCAAGTTTTGTTTTCTTTTGTTTTGTTGTTTATCTTCTCATAAGCTTTTTTTGGTCGATGAGCAGATGATGCGCTCATCTGTTGTAGGGAAGGAGGTGTTAGGATATATGGATGATTTCATATTTCTTTTTCTTCAGTTGTT